TGTCAATGTTATTGTGGCTTGTTAACATTTTATTTTTAATATTTTTATTGAGCTTTGTACCACGATTGTTTATTAGGAAAAATTGAAAAAGCAACAAAGTCTAAGCGGTAGAAGTTATAGCACTATTTCGGAGATCACCACATCTCCTCATCAGACTTCTTTTTCTAGACTTCAGCAGGGATGGAACCTGCGAATTCGATGTTCAAAGTCAGAAGCGTTAACCACTGAGCTATGTACATCCCGTTGTTGTTTGTGTGAAATATTTCATTTTTATCAATATTTTTCTTTTAACCCATTTAAGTCCAAACAAAAACGGTTGGAATTTTATTATATCTAATTTTATTTATGTGATCATAAAAGCCAATTTAAACAAACTAAGGAATTAAAATTAACGAAAAAAGCTCAAAAGTTAACTTTTGGGAGTGTACTTTTTTAGTACAGCGGGCACTTATGTGTGTTAGGGTAGGTTAGGTTGATTGTGGCAGACCCCGCCAGGGGTTTCACTTAGACATTAATTGGGTTACACGAGTTCTTTGAACGGCAACTAAGATATTCTGTGTTAGAAACTAAGAGAAGCGCTGGGTGCTAAGAACAAAGTTCCGCAGGCAGCTGTTGTCCACTCCGGAGAGCTTTCCTGGAGTATTGAAGAAATGAGCACCGAGGTGCTTAAACCTTAGTCTTGCGAATGCCGGGCAGCTGAGAAGGAAGTGCTGAGATGATTCCACCTCATCTTCCAAACAGCTGCGACAGTAGGGATCTGTGACGATGTTAAGTCGCACCGCGTGGGTTCCTATAGGACAATGTCCGGTCAGTACACCTGTGAGAATTGAGAGGTGGCGCTTAGCCAGCTGCAGAAGCTCCCTTGATCGCCCGCGGTCGACAACCGGCCAGAAGGACCTTGCAACTTTGCATGTCGGGGTTTTTGCCCAGCGCTCGCTGAGCCGACTGTGAGCACATCTGTCCAGAAGCAGGTCACAGGTTGCCAACGGAACTCCTACGCCCTCCCTATCCGGGGCAATGGCCTCGAGGGTGCCCTGCCTAGTCAATTCATCAGCCCTGCAGTTTCCAGTGATGTAACTGTGTCCCGGTACACAAATCAGCTTGATTTGGAAGTATTCCGAGGCACTGGAGAGAGAGGTCAGGCATTCCCCGACCAGTTTCGATCGCACCATAAGCGATCCCAGCGCTTTAATTGTCGCTTGGCTATCAGAGTAGATATTCCCCTCCTTGTTGGCAGGGGGTTGGTGCGTTGCCAATCGGCTGCCTCTTTTATAGCGGCCACCTCAGCTTGAAAGACGCTGCAGAGGTCCGGCAGTCTGAACATAAGATCTATCGAGAGTTCCCGACAGTAGACCCCTCCACCGACTCTCCCGTCCAGCTTCGATCCGTCCGTGAATATGTTAATTGGACTCCTGTTCCAGAGACTGCCATTCTCCCATTCGCTCCTTGGAGGAATGTGCGTGGAGAAGGATCTTTTTGGGGCCAGCCTCGGAACACGCCAGTCCAATTCTTCCGGTAGGAAATCGAAGCTTTGGAGAATCGTCGAGTGGCCGTGTACTGTGTTCAAACAGAACCCAGAGTTTTTGAGCCTAATGGCCGAGCGAACTGCCGCTACTTTTCCCGCGATATCAACAGGTGCGACGCTGAGCATAGCATTTAGTGCTAGAGTTGGAGTGGTCTGGAGCGCCCCGCTGATTCCAACGAGGGCCGCCCTTTGCACGCGCTCTAGCTTCCTAACAAGAGTAGACTTTTCCAGTGAATTCCACCAGACAATGGCCCCATATAACATGATTGGCTTCACTATGGTTTCATACAGCCAATATATCACTTTTGGAGAGAGGCCCCATCTCTTCCCTATAGCATTTTTACAGCAGTAAAGAGCCACTGATGCCTTTTTTACTCGCTCCTCGATATTAGGCTTCCATGATAACTTCCTGTCGAGGATCACGCCCAGGAACTTGACCCTGTCAGAAAGAACAAGGGAAACACCTCCTATCGAGGGAAGCTGGGCACCTACGGGGTGCCTCTGCTCACTTTACGCTGGTCAGAGGCATTTCCCCATCCCGCTATGACAGTTCTGTCGTACAACATGCGAGAGATGAGCCCAACTAAGTGGCTCTCGACTCCAAGCTTAGTTAGCGCTCTTACTATCGCCCCAGGTAACACATTAGTAAAAGCCCCCCCCCCCGATATCAAGGAAGGCCCCGACTACAAAGTCTTTGTTCCTAAGAGACTCCTCTATGACTTTAACAATTGAGTGCAAGGCAGATTCCACGGATCTACCTTTTATGTACGCATGCTGAGAGAGGCTCAATCGCCCTCGAGGAATCCTGTTTCTTATATACAGGTCAATGAGCCTCTCAAAAGTCTTCAGTAAGAAGAAGGAGAGGCTGATTGGCCGGAAGTCCCTCGGAGACACATGAGAGCTTTTTCCTGCATTGGGGATAAAGGTGACCCTCACCCTCCTCCAGGCCCCCCGGGATGTACCCCCTTTCTAGGCATCTCGCATAGATTGGGGTGAGCCAGCGACACGAGACCTCGTCAGCCTTTTGAAGCTGCGCAGGAATAATGCCATCCGGTCCGGGGGACTTGAAGGGCTTGAAAGAGTCAATCGCCCAAAGCAGTCGGCGTTTCTAAAGTAGTTCACCGGAGAATATTGGGCAGCCAACCGTACCGACACCGGTAGGCTCACACGGTGTGGGGTTTGCTGGGAAATGAGTGTCAAGGAGTAGCTTAAGCCCAGTTTACCTCTTCGTCCCTCATGAATCCCAAAGGTACAGGACTCCTCGCAAGGATTCGCCTAAATCGAGACGATTCGTGACAACCTTCTACTACTTCGCAGAAATTTCTCCACGACTCAGTTTTGGCCTTTCTTATCTCGGACTTATATATACCCAGTCCGATCTTGTAGAGTTCCCAGTCGGAGTGTTGTCCACTCTTCCTGGCTTTGTTGAAAAGGCGCCTGCTCGACGCCCTAAGTTCCGAGAGCTCCATCGTCAACCATTTCGCTCGGACTTTGCCCGAGGGCCTGCTCAGCGGGCATGAGCTTTCAATGGCACACCTACAGGCTGATGTAAATTTCTCTACCGAGTCCTCAATCGAGATTTCAGTGCTTAAGTTTAACGGGGGCCTCAAGGAGTAGTTCCCGCAATTTTTGGCTGTAGAGGTCCCAATTTGTTCTCCTAAAATTTCTATAGGGGATAATTTTAGGACGATCTTCGTCCAGATAAAACTGAATATATCTATGGTCCGAGAAGGAGTGATCCTGAAGAACCCTCCAATCGGAAATACCGGATAGTAAAGAAGACGAAGCAAGGGTAAGGTCGAGGACCTCTGGCCGCAATGATAAAGGTCGGTTCGTTACCTCTATTACAAATACCTAAGTCCTCACTTAGAATATAATCAAGAAGAGACTCACCTCTTGCGTTATTGTTGAGCTTCCCCAGCACGAGTGCCTCGAGTTTGCGTCGGATCCAATGATAATATCGACTTTTCGTCTCCTCGCTTCGGCTATGGTCTCACGCAGCAATAGTGGAGGTGGTTCCACCTCGTCCTCATGCGCCATATATGCGGAAATAAGCCAGAGCTCTCTGGCGCCGTCCTCCAAGCTAACCGTCACAAAGTCCTCATTGCTGAAATTGGGTAAAATTAGTGCTTTGAATTCGTTTCTGATGAGCATACAGGATCTTGGTCTACCTGCTTGTTTCTGCACCATCAGCTTAATCAGTCCTAATGCCGGATATGCCGTTACTACTCAGCCACGACTCCTGGATCAGGACTACGTCGGCTCCACCTTGCTCAAGGTGGATGAGAAGGTTTGCGGACGCCGCCTTAGAGTGTTGGAGATTTATCTGCAGGATCTTCATCCTCCAAAGTTTCCTCCAGCCATGCCAGTTCGGCGTCCTCGTTGACCGAGGCTAGAAGCCTCTCTTCCTCCACCCTGTCATAAAACCGTCCGATGCTGATGACGGATCCCTCGGTTGAGAGAGCGTCCCCAGCACTTTCAGCTTCAGACGTGGCGGATTCTACCTCCATGCTCATGGGGGTTTCCTCCGCCTCGGGCTGGCCTATCATCGGCGCCTCCGGAGGTTGAGAGCCATCTCTCCTGGCATCGGATTGGTAGACCCTAAGAACTACCCTTTCGAAGCCATAAGTTATGACTCCCCCTGACTCATCGAGTGGACCGAGGGACTCAGCGTTAAGTAAAATCAGCGCTTGCCGATGCGATTCCTCGGACCCCTCAAACCTGATAACCCTCCAGTTTTGCGTGGGCAGTTGCGGGTTGCAGTACCGGAGGATTTCCTCTATCTCCTCTGGTGCGGAGGGCTCGGGGGGAGCCAGACACGGGCACGTGGATGGGAAGGAAGGTCCTTCTCATCCACGGCTTCTAGCTTGGCACCCTTCCAAACCTCCCCCACCAGAGACACTGCAGCCTTATACATTGAAGCCAACCGTTCGTCGGCGCAAACAATTTTCTTATGGATGCCGTGATGCCATCCAGCATCCTCGCATCTTGGAGGTGGTCCAGAGCTTCCCCTAACCTCCCTTAAGAAGACAGAGGAGATGGCTGTTGCCACGCGCCTCCAGTTTTCCCTGGATATGGCGCCATCTTCCCTGCTTCTATCAATGACCCCCAGGGTAATTGATCCCGCCTGCTTAGCGATTTCGCTAAACAGGACAGGTGCACCCCCAGTCCTAGGTCTCTTTGCCCCGGATTTTTCTCCCTCTTGAGACCTCTGTCTCTTAAGGGCTGCATCAGATGCACTCGCATCTCCTTTGGTCGAACCCTTTGTACAGCCATCCAGACCACGTAGCACCCCTTTGGCCCACTCGAGCGTTTTAGCATGTTTCTCAGACAACTGAGAAACATCCTGACCGCCGTAGCGTGCCAAAATCTTGGTTGCCATGCGTCTGTCTGAGTACGCCTTTCGACCCGAGGAAGCCTGCCGTTTGGGATTTTCAGTACGCTGCTTTTGGGGAGCCTTCTAGGACGCACCAGGAAAGCTAGGTGAGGAGCCCGAACTGGTGCTGGCGATTCCGTCGAGCACCCCCCTCAACTGCTCACTCAACCCTGCCCCCTGCGTAAGGACCCTAGGTGAGGAGCCCGAACTGGTGCTGGCGATTCCGTCAAGCACCCCCCTTACCCGCTCACTCACCCCTGCCTCCTGCCTAAAGACCCGCGCAGAGGCCGGTTCCGGCACTCCTGCCCTCCCATTTGTGACAGCACCTGCCCCCCCAGAAACAGTTGCGTGCGTCGGCTCCGACGCGCTATTGCCTCCCGAAGGACTTTCCGTTAAGGACCCCCCAGGAATAAGATAGATAGGACGGGGCGGTTTCGCCTCGCCTACCGTGGGTGGTGCTGAAACCCCCCCTGATGAGCCAGCTTTGGGGGTCGGTTTCGACTCCCCGCCACCGCTCGAACTCTTTTTTATTTTATTTTTGTTTTTGTTTGTGTTTTCATTCTTCATTTTTCACTGGGTCCCCACTCAGAGCCGCTATCCAAAACCCGAGCGTGTAGTCGCCTTTAAAATGGTCCCAAAGCTACCTCTGACAAGACTATGGCGAGGGTTGACACATGCCCTTATGGGGTCATGTGTTCAGAGCCGACCAGCGCAAAGACGGGAGCCATCTCAACCGCACCTACACCACCAACTTAACGGCGACGGAAGTTGGAACGTACTCTGAGGCCTGCCAGGGTTTTAACGGGACGGGGGCAGTTGCAGCATTAGCCCACCAGCCATTTCTGCTGAGTGTCACCTCAGCATACTCAGGTGGTAGAATACCACAACCACCAGCTCAGGGATCAACAAATCCAAACGTTTTCCACAGTCGTAGTCAGAGGACGAAGCCAAGGTCGTTACCGTTCAGGTTTTGAGGCCGTGAAGGCCGAATGCCATTTGGCATTACCCAGGATGCACCACGCGGAGGCGACCTGCTCTACCCCCCTTATGTGTGTTAATTTGTAAAATATTACTTGGCAAGGCATAACGTTTTTTTGCATCCTGCGCATTGCCATATTATAACCTCATGACACAAACCACAGTTTAGCTGCTTAGGCAACTAGCCTGGGTTATGTCCGTTATGCCTTGGATCTCCTACAATAGAACCGGATGGGTAGCTTTATTCGAACAATGTGTGTAACGTACCAGTATTTAAAGTAGTTTCATGTCCACTAACAATACAGTGCAAAATCTTTCTATATTCTGAAAAAATAGCATCAAATATTAACTACTTTTGCAAAAGTCGCTATAATACTAATGTATGTATGTATTTATACACTTTCAAAAATTAATTTTCGTGATTGGGATAAAGAAAAATATTTTGGGTGTTCACACAATTGGGATACGATTTGCACCAATCGTGTGACACTGCCTTTAAACTTGTATTTGTATGGATGCTTCTAAGGAATGAACTATAAAAAACTACCCAAAACTAAATAACAGCAGAAAAAATATTTTAAAACTGATTACTCGGCCGTGCTATCAAAGTACCAAAATGCCACTAAGCGCATTTCAAAATTTTCAGGCAATAGCCTCATGCGATTATCGATTATACTTTTTGTTGTTTGTGTGAAATATTTTATTTTTATCAGTATTTTTCTTTAACCCATTTACGCCCAAACAAAAACGGTTGGAATTTTATTATATCTAATTTTATTTATGAGATCATAAAAGCCATTTTAAACAAACTAAGGAATTAAAATTAACGAAAAAAGCTCAAAAGTTAACTTTTGGGAGTGTACTTTTTTTAGCACAGCGGGCAGTTATGTGTGTTAATTTTTAAAATATTACTTTGCAAGGCATAACGTTTTTTTGCATCCTGTACATTGCCATATTATAACCTCATGACACAAAACACAGTTTAGCTGCTTAGGCAACTAGCATGGCTTATGTCTGTTATGCCTTGGGTTTGGATCTCCTACAATAGAACCGGATGGGTAGCTTTATTCGAACAATGTGTCTTCTAATAGCTAATTGGTTGAAAAGAATCTTCGCTCGACAAGACATGTCGACTCCGGTTAGATATACTCATATCAAGCATGTGCGTGGAGATTCATAACCCAACACCATTTCTTACTACGAATATAAACACCTCACATTTTTGATAACAGCGATTTGACAACTCTATATCCAAGATGATCCCATGAGCTTCCAATGACTTTTGCACAACATATGTCAAAGACTTAGTAACAACCTTCATAACTTGCTATCACCCAGTTTTAGCAGCAAAATATAATCGAGATGTTAAGAAATAAATATATATATAGTTCTAGAAAATTGCATCAGAAACTACCTGACGTTTTTGACAAAAACTCTGAATCATCATGTCACATACAGGCCAGATTTTTAACATTTTATCGTTATACGTAATTGCAAGGCTATTCTCAACTACGAGAAAGCTTCTCTTTTCCACTAAGTCACTTTTTTCTCTATAGTAAAGTATTGCTAACATAAATCTCCACAAATAATTTCCGTATCCTTCCTCAAATACCTCTAGAGATATTCTGATCGATAGCTCCACTTGTATGATCTATAAATCCCAGCAGAAATATGTATTATATAAGTTTCAGTATGTAAAGGAGGACCACGCCCCCTTTTCCAATAACTGCCACTTTTCTACTTACATAGTATAGGATTGATTTCATATACTATCTCCATACCGAGTTCTAGTATTCTACTGCAAACGCGTCTTCATATGCAGTCTGAAAAATTCAATTTGTATGGGAGGTGCCACGCCCCCATGACATATTCATATTATTTTTAGTCTATAACCATGCTGGAATGTCGGAAATAGGTATCCAAAACTTCGAAAAATCGGTACGGCTGTTCTCAAGCTTTCGAACAGAAAAAACCGGCTTTCAAAAAAATGTTATATATTAGTATAGTACTAAAAAAATGACAGCTAAAGAAATAGCTGTATATCAAATAACACCCCTTATACTCACTGTTAATAATTTGATTAATTTACTCTTTTTCCACTTCATAATAGCAGATATTTTAGAGCAAAGTGCAATAATTCAAAAAAAATCACACCTTTTCATGTGGACCAATTCTAATGTTAAAAGTCCATTTGTAAGTGTCCAAATCCGGTATCCCCAGTTATACCTATTTATCTTCTATTCTATCTGAAGTGAAATTAATACCAGTAGGTGCAAACTTATTAAAGCAATTTCGTTTTAATAGTAATAGTAAACTTTTAGACGTGGGTTGAAATGGGGGCGTTTATATAGTATAGAGAGCGCAAATGGGTTAATCAAAATATGTTGAAATAAAAGTGAAACTAGAAAAGATTTTGCCAGTAATAATTATGATAGAAGGTCGTGAGCTGGACCGATTTGAAAATACCTCCAAAAATGTAGTTTATGAATAAGTAGTTTAAGCTTAAAAAATCTGCATAAAATTATTGAAAATATTTCAACGGGATGATAGTAATGAGAATTTTCATGCTTTTTAACTTTTTCAAAGACTGGTTTAAGAAAAACTTAAATAACGGGACCAAAATTATACCGATTTAAACTTATGTGGAAAGGTATTTTCTCACCCTTTTAATTTATTTGCAAAAAAACTCATTTATGTCCCAATTTTTATTTTTTTAAATATCAACACATCTTAATTAATGTTGGAATGACACTCGTCATACTTTGAATAAAATTATGCAAAGATATAAAAAGAGTGATAAATTAGCTTTCCAATGATATCTTACGAGTCTAAATCGGTGAAGTTTTGACTTAGTTATTTAAGTTTTTTTACCCCGAAATGTTTTGGTGCAATTCTTAAAATATAATAGATTTTATAATTGCAGTGGAAAAACTGTAGTGGAGTAATGCAATCTAATGCACATATGTATACAAGTATACTGTATACTTAAATACACACGTTTCTGTTTCTCCCAAACCTCTGAAATTGAGGAAATACATATATGTATTTCTTTGTACAACAAACTGTAAGTCGGGAAGATTTTATTCTTTCACGTCACAAGCTTCTAACTACTCATTTCTAATAAACGAGGAAATTTGAGAAATTTCACTCCGGAATCCTCGCACAGATAAGACTCCTACAGCTTTCAATTCATTTTTTATTTTATTAAAATAACTGATTTTTCATTTTAAAATCTGTTGTTTGAAATTTTTTTAAAGGCAGTAGAAAATTAATTTTTTTTTGTAGCTGGTAGTTTGATTTTGATAGAGATGTCATAATGCCAGCAAAATTCAAATGGCTAACAGGCGGCCAAAATCATTGAGTGAAACTACCTTCCTACCTTGTATCATGCACAATACCTCTAGTATAAAATATGAGCATCATGAGCGTCTTCTAAATTTATACTTAGAAACGTAAGGTTTGTTACCAGCACCTCCTTCGGCAAGAGGAAGAATTTTGGAAGGTGCCCAAACCCTATCTCGAAAATATTTTTTTTGGATCACTGGTGAAGTAGTAGAGTTTATTAAAATGGATTTGTTTGAGAATAAGTCCGAAAATTTAAATCAAATAGTCAATCATGAGTAATTTAGAGTAACTCTAAAGGGGATTATTACACTGGTCTACTGAAGTGAAAGAAGTCAAGAACAGAATTCATATTTTTAGGGCATATTTTGGTGGGAAAATTTTACGAAAACGAATAAAGGGACTTGTAGAAATAAGAAATTCATGGTTTTGCATTAGGCTGGGTCGATTTTGTATGGGAAAAAATAAAGGGCATTTGACCGTATTGCAATAGTAATATTATGATGTAGATGTAAGCCAATTGTTATTGGCCACAAAGTATTAATTTAAAACTTATCTTTAGCGCGCACAATTGAATCAAAGTGTATGCATTTTTAAAATGAAACTTTGTCTTGTAATATCTATGGAATGCGTTAATTGTTATAAACAGGACGATATATCAAATTAAGGGTTATTAAATTTTCTCA